TGGAATGCTTAATCTCCGTGCAAACCGTCTATAATACAAAAGAGCAGCCTCTGACGTTTGTTTTCTTAACCTTTTTTTTCTGATATTAGCAGCCATTTTAAGTTATTTTCTCTTAATCATAAAGAGAGAGAGATAATTAAAAATTAGTACGTAGCTGCCTATCTTTACTTCCACCACTCCAACCAAATGCTGTCTTGGATTTGACTTGCATAATTTACAAAATAAATAAATTATCAGCTGGCTCCACCAATCGCATCGCCAACACCATGTTACTTTTTTACTATTCCAAATCAATAATATTGTATATTATATATTTTTTATATATATATATTTTTATTTTTACTATTCCAAATCAATAATATGATATATTATATTATTATTTATTAATATATATATTATATATGATATATATAATTATTAGCTCGCCGATCTCATTTTGTTTTTTTATTTACACAGAGCTTTTAGGAAGCAGAGCGGCCTCCACCTCCCAACAAAATTTTTTAAAAAAAAACTACCTTATAAAATATTTAAAATTTTTTATTTTTACCCCTTAAAATTAGTAAATATATATATTATTCTCTCCGTCTCATTTTGTTTTTTTATTTACACAGAGCTAGGGATCAGAGCGGCCTCCACCTCCCAACAAAATTTTTTTAAAAAAACATACCTATAAAATATTAAAATTTTTTATTTTTACCCCTTAAAATAGTAAATTTTTCGATTTTCACCCCATATCACTTGAAATATTTTTTAGCCCTCAAACTTTAATAACGTAAAGTTGCCTTGAACATATAATTCATTTACATTGATCAGTTGTTTTTATTTTAAAAAATAAATTTAATATTTAATATTTTCCATCTTAAATGTACAAAGAGTAGATATTGAGACTTGGAGAGTAGTCTAGATCTCGGACTAAAGTCCTCTTTAGTATTAAAATTTATATCATGTAGGTGAGTGGTATTTGAAAGGAAGAGTTATCTTATACGACACAACTGTAATCTTATTTCAATATATTCACCCTACAATGAATAAAAAAAATTATTAAATTAAATTAAAATTTGATGTCAAAGAGTTATTAATTCTTAATTGGATATATTTGCCACGTTAAATGTTATAAGATTCAAATAAATAAAAAAAAGGCACTTTAAAGTTTAAAAATGGGGATAAAATATTAAATTCAACTGTGGTGGCTATCAGTTCTCTCGATTTGAAGGTTATCTCGAGTATATTTTAATAAAAATTGTAATCTTTTTTCAAATTGCCAAAAAAGGAAAATTATAATCTGATATGCTTCTTAACGTTGAAAAAATTGCATGTTACTATCTGTTAGATACATAAACATGTGAATAAATCCGATATTATTAAATACAAGTAAATGATTTGTAATAAGAAGAAAATCCGGTACAAATGACTTACGTCATTTTGTTTTAAATTATAAATATATACTTGTTTTTTGAAAAAATAATTTATTTTTAGAAAATTCTAAACTATTCTATTACGTCATTTTGTTTTAAATTATAAATATATACTTTTTTTTTGAAAAAATAATTTATTTTTAGAAAATTCTAAACTATTCTATTGTTTGATTGCAATATTAAAAATTAGTTAAATGATATCAAAAGTTTTAATTTATAAAGCTATAAAAATTATATATTTTCAAAATTTATTGTTTAATATGAGAAAACAAATTACGAAGAGAATTGTGATAATTGTTAATAACTAGTACTGGTGGTAGGTGGTAACGAGTAATCGGTACTGATCGGTGATTAGTAACTGATTGCAACAAGGGTAAATCAATAACTTCAATGATCATTAACATAAGAAATTTACTTTTTTGGTCCAGACGAGCCTAACTTAGTTAAAGATTTGAAAAATATTAAGAAATTTTTATAAAATTTGGTCATCATGGCCTAACTTACTTAAATCTTGAGGAAATATTAAAAATGTTTTGGTCTCATGAACCTAACTTACTTAATCGGTTCAGGGTTTAATTACAGTTAATGCTCTTCATCCCTTTTTACATGTGTGTGTAGTGGGGATCAACACGAGAGCTCTTTCCACGTGGCCATAACTCGTAGGTAAATACTTAAATTTTACTTTTGGTCAAAAGTTATGCATTTTTAACTAAGACCTAATGACACAAACGAAAATATATAGACTCAATTATGACATGTAGAATAATAAAAGCAAAAAGAAAAAGAAACAAATAAATACAAATGCAGGAACATATTGCAAAATTTTAATTGATAAGTTTTTTAAACTCCAACATTCTCGATTTTTAAAATAATTGGAATATTTAATAATTATAAAATAATTGTCTGTCTGGCTGATAAAGAAAAATTAATAAAATAAAATAGCTGAATAAAAAATTATATATAGCTAATTATGTCTAAAAATAATTGGAATGATTGCCACATTAAATTAAATATTTCAAATAAATAACACAAAAAACAAACAACACAAACATTTCAAATAAATTATTGAAAAATTGATTTGAAATATTTAATTTAATATGACAATTATTTCAATTATTTTTAACTCAATCAGCTTTTTTTTTGGATAAATATTCCAAATACCTTTGTTTTTTTTAAAAAAAGAAAAAAATTGGGAATGCTTTAGTATTAAGATTTTCACTTCTGTTAAAGCCATTAACTCTTAGACTATGTCCGATCGGTAACAGCTTTTTAAGTAGCGTTTAGTCAAAATGCTAAACACTGCTTTTTATAGTATTGGGCAATATAACGTTTAAATTAATTTTTAAAAGTTAAAGTAACTGTTCATGAAAAGTTAATTTATTTAGTATTTAGCTTTTAGTGTTTTGTAAAAAGCAACTCAAATAGCTAACAGGTAAATAATATTAAAATAATTAACTGCATTAAAATAATTAATTTTACTGAATAGACCCTAAGTTAAGAAAATGCAAACTTTTTACGAAAATTAAAATCGAAGAGTTTTAAGATCATAAATAAATGGCGTAAAGGGTAAAATCTTATAAGTTCAGGGGCTAATTTGTGTGTCTTGCTTTTAATAATCCCCATGTGTTATGAATTGCGCAACACATGGGATTTGGCATCAACATGCAACAATCGTGGAAGCTCTAATTAAACTAAAGCTGATGTTATTAGACTACATATATGCAAGAATATTCGATCTTAGATTTTGTTCTTTCATTTCTTTTTAGATATTAATTTGAATTCCATTAGAAATCCCAACCCCTTAATTTCATCAAATTTTTATTTTTTTGCATTGGAATTTAAGTTAATGAAATTTTCGAAATTCATCAAATTTTAATTTCGTCATAAGTAAATATTTACCATCATTTCCGAATATTGTTTATAAATCGGTTATATTTGCTTAAGACGATGATATTAAGTAATCGTTAAACTTAGCAGAATTTAAATAAGCCTCAATAATTTGACTATTTTACAAACTAAATTTAAATAAAACAAGTTGAATAAGTTAACTTTTTTTTTTTTTTGTAAAAGAAACCAAAATTTGCTAATCTCAATTTATAAAAAAAAAACACTAAACAAAGCAAAACAAAAGCAAACTGCTAATCTTGCTGATTCACTCTCAAGATTTCAGTCAACATATATATGCTTATTATTATTATTATTATTTAATTAAAATTTTCTTATCATAACCCATACTGTGGAAAAAGAAGTGGCTTGGCATATATATTATAAGTCATTGAAGTAGTTAATTTTGGCGGCAGAAATAATGGTTTAAGGTCTTACGGTCTTTGGTCTACTTGCTACTTTAAAGCCTTTGAATGCAGTATTTTTGGAATGTGAACTAATTATTCTTCAATTTCTACTAACGTGACCGGAAAAAAAAAATACTGAAAGACGACAGAGAAAAGAACTAGTCTCCCTCCATGCCTGCGCAATAATAATAATAATATTAATATTGCTAAAACAGTCCCACAAGTTGGTCAATATTAAGCAATTCCAATCTATAATTTGGAATTTGAATTTCGTTTTGACATTTGCACTCCTGAAATTACATGGCATCTACATATTTCAAGATATTTAGTGTTAGTCCATTTATAGCGTCAAACAATTTTAAGATTCGAGAATATTTTTCAATGACTTATTATCAATCTACGTTATTGTTTCACGTAATGATAGAAATTAGTTGGGAGATAACTTCTTGTAAATGTAAATGATGGGTAGTCTAGTGGTAAAGGTTGATGCTTACGGCCTATTAGGTTTTAGATTCAATTAACTTTCGCTCCAAGAAATATGCTAGCATATTCATATATATCAACAAGTCAAAATATCATAAAATGAAAAATTATTATTTTAATTTTGTATTTATCAAAATACATGACTTCATCCATGTATTTTTTAGAAATAAATATTTTTACTTTTATATTTTGCTTCCTTTACATTGTTATATTATTCTATTAATTTTGTACGCTTCTTTCGTTAAAATAAGAAAATATCAGTTAATTTTTGGCAAATCACAAAAATAAAATAGTTTTGACAAAATATAGAAAAAAAATAGTAATCTATGGACGGAAAAATTAAAAAAATAGACAGAGGATATAATGGTGTAACAGAAGCTAAAGGTTGGTAGAAAAATATATTTCTAAAGATGCAGAAGCAATTTTACATATTATGCTAAAATACAGATATAAAATCATAATATTTCCTTAAAAAGATAAGAAATAAAAAAAACTAGGACATACCTACCAATAGTAGTCTTTTAGTGGGCTATGTGATGTTAAACCTTAAATAAATGTAATGAAATAAACGAGGGAATTTCAAAAATAAATCATTAAATAAATAAAATTAGATAGAAGACAAAAAGAGGCAAGAGGAAAGAACCTTACAAAAAGCACTAAACTACAAGTAATAGTCAGACTGTGGAGGCTAAGAAATCAATAATTTATTACGTCATGTGAAATTTTTTTTTAGCAATCGTGAAAAAGTTGTTTCTTATTGACTTTTCAAACTCCAAAACTTTTCCTATAAAACCTCACGACATCTTTCTCCTTTGCTCTCAAGCTTCCAATCCAAACCTTCTCCTGCAACTCTAATCTCTATAGTTGCAACAGTACCCACTTCCACTTTTCTCACATCAACTGCTTTTAACTATCATCTTCTTCAACAAGCTTTTGCTTTTCAATATCCAGAGAACAAGAAAATGGCTGCTTCTTCAGTTCTCAGATCAAGCTTTCTTCCTTCTCACAAACCCACCATCACTTCCAATGTCTCCAACAACAAAAGAAAGGTCAATAGTTTTCTTCTTTTTTTTTTTAAAAAAAAAAAGAAATCTTTTTACATTTCAAATATTTTTATTTTTGAAAAGAAATACTAAAGTTTTAATGTTTAATTTCTTCAGTTCAATGGAGTAGTTGTTGCTGCTTTGGATAATAATGCAAGTGATGATAATAAGAATGCTATGGTTATGAGAGAGGATCAAACACAGCAGAGAAGATCACTTAATTTCTCGGGAACTAAACCTTCTACTCCAATTCTTGATACCATTAACTATCCAATTCACATGAACAATCTTTCCGTTCAGGTATATAAATATACATCAACCACAATATATATATATATATATATATAAACCTTTTTTGGTATCTTTGAATCAGCCTGGTTGTGAAAATTTTACAGGAGCTGGAGACATTGGCAGATGAAATAAGAGAAGAAATAGTCTATACAGTCTCCAAGACTGGAGGGCATTTGAGTTCGAGTCTAGGTGTTGCAGACCTAACTGTCGCACTTCATCATGTATTCAACACTCCTGAAGATAAAATCATTTGGGACGTTGGTCATCAGGTAAATACATAACTAAAGATTTAATCATTTGTATCAAATACAAAAAGAATAATGTTTTCTTGAACTCATTTATCTATTATTGAATATTTGCAGGCTTACCCACACAAGATTTTAACTGGAAGAAGATCAAGAATGCATACAATTCGACAAACATTTGGTCTTGCTGGTTTCCCAAAGAGGGATGAAAGTGAACATGATGCTTTTGGAGCTGGACACAGTTCGACAAGCATATCAGCTGGTTTAGGTATGGCAGTTGGTAGAGATTTAGTGGGAAAGAACAATCACGTAATCGCAGTTATTGGAGATGGTGCTATGACTGCTGGACAAGCATATGAAGCAATGAATAATGCAGGATATCTTGATTCAAATCTTATTATTATATTAAACGACAACAAACAAGTTTCTTTGCCTACTGCCACCGTAGACGGTCCTGCACCACCCGTCGGTGCTCTGAGTAAAGCCTTAACAAAGCTTCACTCTAGCAGAAAGGTTCGCCAATTGCGTGAAGCTGCAAAGGTTGGTCTTGACGTTTCCCTTTTCTAGCCATAAAAGTTCAATCTTTTACGAACTCAATTTGGCTCGATTAACTAATTAATTAATGCTTTTGATTCATTTTCAGGGAATCACAAAGCAAATTGGAGGACAAACACATGAACTTGCAGCTAAAGTTGATTCATATGTGAGAGGATTAGGAGGTGCTACTAATGCTTGTTTGTTTGAAGAATTAGGTCTTTACTATATTGGTCCAGTTGATGGGCACAGTATAGAGGATCTTGTGACAATATTACAGAAAGTTAAGTCATTACCAGCACCAGGACCTGTTCTTATCCATTGTATTACAGAGAAAGGGAAAGGTTATTCTCCAGCTGAAATTGCTGCTGATAAAATGCATGGTATGATATTTTACTAAAAATTTGCTCAATTTTTTTCATCTACAGACTCCATTTAGTAATTGAGGCTAATGTTTTCTTTGTTTCTTTTTTTTGTTTAGGTGTTGTGAAATTTGATCCTGTCTCTGGAAAGCAACTGAAGTCGAAATCGAATACTAAATCCTACACCCAGTACTTTGCAGAGTCTTTGATTGCAGAAGCAAAGAACGACGATAAAGTAGTAGCAATTCATGCTGCAATGGGAGGGGGAACAGGACTTAACTTGTTTCAGAAACAATTCCCAGATCGATGTTTCGATGTTGGGATTGCAGAACAACATGCTGTTACATTTGCTGCTGGTTTAGCTACTGAAGGCCTCAAGCCTTTCTGTGCTATCTACTCTTCTTTCTTACAAAGAGGATATGATCAGGTAAATTTAATTATAAAATTTTCCCTAGTTATTCAGCTGATTTAGCCCTCCTTTTTTATTAGAACATATTATTAAATGTGCTTTGATGATGATATGCAGGTGGTTCATGATGTAGACCTCCAAAAGCTTCCAGTTAGATTTGCAATAGATAGAGCCGGTCTTGTGGGTGCAGATGGTCCAACCCATTGTGGTGCTTTTGATGTTACTTACATGGCTTGTTTACCAAACATGGTGGTTATGGCTCCTTCTGATGAGACTGAACTTATGCACATGATAGCCACCGCTGCAGCCATTGATGACCGTCCTAGTTGCTTTAGGTACCCTAGAGGAAATGGTATTGGCACCGTTCTCCCACCAAACAACAAAGGGACACCACTTGAGGTACATTTTACCACATAAAAACAAATTAAATCAATGGCCTTTTAGATATAATTTTCTAACAGATTGATTTCCGAACAGATTGGAAAAGGAAGAATATTGAGAGAGGGAAGCAGAGTGGCAATATTGGGGTATGGAACAGTAGTCCAAAATTGCTTAGCAGCAGCTGATCTTCTTCAAAAAATGGGTATCTCAGCCACGGTTGCTGATGCCAGATTCTGCAAGCCACTCGACGGAAACTTGATCAGACAATTAGCTCAAGAACATGAAATTCTTATTACAGTTGAAGAAGGATCCATTGGAGGATTTGGCTCTCATGTCTCCAATTTCTTGTCCTTAAATGGATTATTAGATGGACATCTCAAGGTAATTAAGCACTTGAACAATCCAAATTTTTATTTGTTCTGCTAATTATTTAAAAGAATACCATGTTAAAATATTTTGAAATTTTGCAGTGGAGACCAATGATGCTTCCTGACAGATATATAGACCATGGATCTCAAACAGACCAAATTGAAGAGGCCGGGCTCAGTTCAAAGCATATTGCAGGGACAGTAGTGTCACTAATTGGAGGACAAAAGGACAGTCTTCACCTTCTTAACCTATAAATCAATGGAGTTACGAGGAGAACACTTTGTTTGGAGTGTAAAAACTGAACCATCTACAGTGACGACTAATTGTATTTGCAAAATGAGTCCCCTTCAATCATTTTGTATATCTTGAATTAAGAGTAAGAACTGTCTTCTAAGCAAAAATAAGTCAACATTGTTGTACTCCGCATGTCGACAGTATTGAAAAACAAAAAGAAAAGCAGTATAAAAAATTTCCTTGTATTTGTATTGGCGAATTCCATTTTTTAATTTTAAACAATTTCATTTAATTAATTGTCACATCTTATATTGCTTAATCAGTCATTTCTTGTTTTTTCCTTATTGCCCTTATGTTTTTAGGCCTTTTTCGTCCTTTTGTACTTCTTTTTCTTTTTCAAGATCTCATCTTATCTTATTTCTTTTTGTTAAAAAATATAAAAAAATACATAAAAGATATAATTATAATTATAATCTTTTATTAAAGATTAGTTCTTTTTTACGACGTTCGATGCACGTTGCATGTACTCGTTATATATTTTTTTCTATTCATTTTACTTTTTTACTTATATAATTAAAATATAAATTTTTATTTAGAGTGGTTTTTATATACACCGTAAATATTTTTTTTAATTATATATCTTGCACTGTAATATCTTATTGAAAAATAATTAATATATTTTTTTCCTCTTCAAAACTGCACTTTAAATATGAAATATATCATTTATATTATTTTCAACATACTGATTCATATAGTTTTTATTACATATTAATTGCTTTTATTTTTTGTTTAAGTATCAAATTGACTTATAAAAATCATCATCTATGTTTTATTTTACGGTTTCATATAATGTTGAAGAATTACAATAATGGTAAATAAAAATAATAAATAATAATAATAAATTATTGTTAATAATTTGTATAATAATATAATGAAATAAAATATAATTAGACATTTTAAGGATCAAGATTGGAACTTATAAAATTATCATCTGATGTTTTATTTTACGCGTTTCATATAAATGTTGAAGAATTACAATAATGGTGAAATAAAAAATAATAAATAATAATAATAGAATTATGTTAATAATTTGTATAATAAATAATGAAATAAAATATAATTAGACATAACAAAATAATAATAATAAAAAAAATTTTAAGTTTTCAAATATCTTAATTATCTATATGTTATTTATCTATTAAAAATAAATTTAAAAAATATCCAATAAATTATATATATATGTTTTAAACAAATACTTAATTATCTATATGTATTTATCTATTAAAAATAAATTTAAAAAATATCCAATAAAATTATATATATATGTTAAAAATTTTTAATTGATTATAACTAAAGCTATTTTAGAATATCTTAAATTTTATAAAAATAATATAAAAATTATCATTATTTCTCTTTATTTTCACTTTTTTATATATAGTATAAATTATTGCGAAACGGTTATAGATTTAGCCATATCAACATGGCAAGCCCAAAATAAGACAAAGAGGCTTTGCCCGAGCCTAAGTCAGAACCTTTACGCAATCACAGCTTAGCATTTGCCCAAGCAACAGGGCAAGTCTTATTAAAACAGCCAATATCGACTAAGTCAGAGAGTTAAATACTAATTAAGCGTTAACTATCAGAACTCCTAATCAGCAACATGAAAAGAGTCCTCCAATCCTGCACACAAAGGACTTCACGTCTAACCTCAAAAATACATTCAATCAATTGAAAAGTTTAATTTTTATTTTAAAAATATGAACATTTCATAATGAAAGTAAGCGAAAATTTAATTTCAGACCTAAAATTTTTGATAGCATCAATTGTCTGCTCAAAATTCTTTTCAAATAGCCATATATAAATAAAATAATTTCATATCTAAGAATTTGCACATGAACTATAGCAAAAAGAAATCAAAAGTTCACTTCCTACAACCAAGTCACAACCCTTTAATTTGAACTACAATCTCTTGATTCGCCCACAACTTTAGAAAATGAACTTATTTTGACTACTAATCCTTTGGACTTGATCGATTTATATACAGAAGAAAACACACGATCACTGAATCATGACGAAGAGCTTGACTACACATAATGTTCTTCTGGCATGATTGCTTTTTCAAATAAGGGAGCAAAAAAAAACAAGAACATCACATAATAAACATGTTAAGAGAGTCATAAAATATACTGTTATAATATCAACAAAAAAAAAAAACATTTTTCCATTCTTAATTAATAGATGTATATTACAATTGTACACATTTTTTTATTTTAATTAAACACGATGATATGATCATGAGAAATATGTGGCCATATAAAAAAAGTGTGTCATAATTAAAAGATTTAAATACAGATGGTGCAATAATAAATAAATTACAAAATTTAAATCTAAATGCAATTTGACTGAAAATTGAGAGAGAAAAATAATACAGTTATATATTAGTAACTAAATCATATTTAATGCAACATTTGAATTTTGTTCGCTACTTTCTTAGTTTTTTTCCACTATTAACAAAGCAAATAAAAGATAATTTAAATATTGCACTTTGATTATAATCTAAATTAAATAACTTTATCTATTTAAATGCGAGATTCAAAATAGATATTTTGTCCATATAAAATAATTGAAGGGAGTAACATTTAACTTGATGTGATCCGATACTCCGATTAAGTGATCAAGGCAAATATGATTAAGGTGACTATGTTGCCACGAATGCCATCAAAGAAAAGTCTAACTAACATCTCTCTTCCCAAACAACTTTTGTTAGTACTTGTAAATGGACAATGAATATGAAAGCAATAAATGATGTCGGATTGTTTAAAATTCAACGTTTTTTTTTTTATTTGCATTCAACTATCCGTATCACATTTTGCAGCTTAATTTAATTTTCTAACACATATATATTCATTTTTTAAATATTTATCACTAGTATTATAGCACAAAAGTGTGAGCTCTTGTATATAATGCATATATTTTTAATAAAATCTATTTTTATCCCCTAAATTTTTTATTTGAATTTATTAAAGCCACATTTTTTCAATTATTTGCAATTAAAGTGTCTAAAAATTTCAAATTAATTTTTGAGAATTGAATTTTGATTTTGAAATCATTTATTTGGTTTCATTTTCGGTTTTATTGAAATAATAAATTCATCAAGTCATAGTCCTTTTCATGTCTAACGTTTGTGGCCTTATTCGTCTCTGTTAGAACGTGCAAAACGTGATTATGGAAATGTGACACATTAAATCCTTACAGTTATTGTTTTTGTTTTTGTAAATTGTCAACCTAAAATCAAAATACATCGTACTCAGGCATACATCAAAGACAGGACAGATTGTCACTTCTTGCTCGTAAAGGGATCTTCAAATTCGAATTCTCCACCCCACATAGTAGAAATATATCCCTTGTTCTTGCCTATATTTTGTACAATCATAATTATTTAATTTAATTTCAATTAAAAACCTTTTTTATAAATTTATATGTTTATTATGAATTTAATAATGAATTTTGATTATGATGATAAGTGGTTTTATCCGAATCTTAAAATGGATACACTCAATATGAATATAACACATTTAATAATCGTATTAAATATTTAAATACAGAATCGATATATAAAAATTAAATATAACACTTTCATTTAATTAAATAAATCATATAAGAATAAAAGAATTTCGAACAGGTTTATTTAAATGGCTATAACCATATACGGGTAAAAAACCTTACATATATAACACGATAACAGTGGCGGCGGCGCTTAGAAGCTATGGGTAAAATGACCCACTGAATTTTTTTTTTTTTTTTTTTGGTAAAATGACCCACTGAATTTTTTTTTTTTTTTTTCTGTTTATTAATAGGGCATCGACGTTGAATTTTGCCCAAGCTAAAATTGACCACTGAATTTTTTTTTTTTTTTTTTCTTTTATATATAGGCATCGACAATTTTGGCCCAGCTAAATTTAACAATTTGACTCATTAAATTATTTTTGTTTCTTAATTTTCATGTCATTTCTCAAAAAAAATCTTAAAAGCACATGTGAACGAAAGAGAGGGCTAATCCTATTATTTAGCTGATATTATTATTTTGGTTCTTTGGATTTCTTATCGAATTTTAAAGAAGATATAATGCTAAAAAAATAGAAAAAAAAAAGAGAAAGGGAACCCCGAGGAGGAAGAAGTACTCTGTCACAGAAGAGGAAATTTTTTATTTCAAATAAAAAAAGAAAAAGGATTTCTTGCTCAATCAATAATTACTTTTCATTTTATATTTTTAGAGCATAGCTTTGATAATATGCATAATAATGCAATTATTTAACGCTTTCAAATTATGAAAATTTATCGAAAGTAATTATAATTTTTTTACAAGTTATGTATGCATTTTTTAAAAAAAATGAATTTGACCCCACTAACTTCGATTTTTAGCTTTGCCACTGAATACATATAACCTATTTGGTATATATATTATATAGGAAATTAATTTTTTATCCTTAATTGAACAAGTTTGACAAGTGAGTTATCGTGTAATATGATCCATTTAAACTCGTATCATATATGGATCACCCATATATGATATAAATCTCTTAAACTTAACTTTAACTCGCTTAATTTATATATTAAGCGAACCGTGCTTTTGTGTTACGATCCATCTTGACAATTTCAATTTTATTCTTATAAAAGTGAAAATATAAATTTAATCCTTAAGAAATGCACTAATCGAAAAAGTAAAAAATTTTTAAGCTCTACGTAAGGGTGATTTTTCCATGATATACCTTCTTCTTCCAGCGAAAAATATACATATTTTTTTATGATAAAGAAGAGTCCTTTGTTCGGGATACTCAAATACCAAAAGAAAGTATGAAATGAAATGCCAAAATAATCTAAGTAAAAGGGATACTAGGAAGAAAATAAGAGATTTTGATGATATCCTACACTCTAATAAACTAAAATCTGTCTAACACAAAGTTCTTTCCAAACAAGGAGGAATAAGTCATCTAAAACCAATGGCAAAACCCATTAAATGTATAAAATTTGCTCATCAAGGTCTCTACTAAATGTATAAAATGTATAATGGCTACTGAATGAGGGAATGGAGAATTGAAACCTCTTGAAAAGCAACTGACGTCGCATCAAATACTGAATCCTACATTCAGTACTTTCCATAGTCTTTGAATGCAGAAGCAGAGAAAGATGATAAGATAGCAATTTATGCAGCAATAGGAGGAGGAACAAAACTTAACTTGTTTTCACATTCTAAATATTTTTTAATAAAATATATATGTCTAAAAATTCTTTTGTAATTTACACAAAATAATACTAAATTACTGAT